AAATCAGAATTTTTTGATAATTACTTACTACTTAGTGGGTCGAACTTTGAAAATTTTCATATTGATATCCCATATTTCGGGGTCTGTAACTTATTGAATATAAAACCAAAATTGACTAAATTATAGTCTAAAATCATGTAAAAACTCTAAACCACACTCTAAAAAAAATTGCATGTCAATCCGACTTTAACAAATGAGATATGCATGTGTTAACATTTTCACATAATATAAAGTATAAAAACAAATAGCTGAATAGTTGAAAATTTTCAGTTTTGATATTCCGACTTCAAGAGACTGTAAATCATTGAATATTAAACAAAAAATGACAAAATTATAATCTAAAACTCATATACAAACTGTAAAATACAATTTTGAAAAAAACACATGTCAATCTGACTTCAAATGAATTAAATATGCATGTTTTAAAACTTTCACAGAAAAAAAAATGAAAAACTAAAAACTTTCAGTTTTGATATCTCGACTTTGAGGGACTGTAAGTTAATGACTATAAAACTAAAAATGACAAATTTATAGTTTAAAATCATGTACAAACTTTAAACTATACGTTGGAAAAAACTGCATATCAATCCGAGTTGAAACGAATGAGATATGTATTTTTTAAATGTTTCACAAAAACCGGTTTTGGCCCTAAAAGTGGTTCCGGTTCCTAACATCGGTTCCGGTTTTAGACCCGGTTTACGCGGACCCGATGGACCCAAACCCAGATTACCCGGAACCCGGATAAAGCCAATTTTTAAACCGGAAATTGAAACCGGTTTTGTATTTTTTGGTTATAACGGTTCCGGTTCCGGTCCGGTTTTCTAGTTCTAAATCACATCCCTATCCCACACCATGCGTTGGAGCTGATGTGGCACAACGGTCCTCTTGCAACACCGCACAGCCTAGGATGATCCAGAGACATTGAGACCCCACCATGTCCTATTGATTCCCTCTCTCTTTTCTTTTATTTTCTCTCTATTTGTTGATTTTTTTCTTTTAAGTGAGTAAATCAAAAGCTATGATAAAGATAAGAAGCAATGCGGTGATGAAAGGTAAAAGATAAATATAATAAAGAATCTAATAGTATGATAAAAATTATAAATATTTCATTGAACGTTTTCCAAATTAGTCAAATATTTACCATAAATATTTCAATGGTTAAACTTGTAAACAATGACATCATCAAACAATAATTGCCTTAATAAAAAAACATGTTATTAAGTTTTTATATATATAATATATATATATATATATATATATATATATATTATATATATATATATATATATATATATATATATATATATATATTTCAATGGATAAACTTGTAAACCATAACATCATCAAACAATAATTGTCTTAATAAAAAAACATGTAAATACATTGAGTTTATATAAAATACAGGATTATGAATATATATATATATATATATATATATATATATATATATATATATATATATATATATATATATAGAAAAGTGTATAAATTACAGCCCTACTTATTCTTAGTTATTAAACCTTATGAAACCACATCATTTTATTAGCTAATAATTTTTATAGAGAAAAAAAAATACTATATAATTTTCTAACAAATCATATATTTTTGAAAATACTTCATAATTTGTTGGAAACATTTTTTTATCGAAAAGATTTTCTTCTCATTATTCATCGTTTCAGAGTAAAAAAATAAATTATAATGGAGGAATAAAAATGGAGATGGTTAAATGATAATAGAATAAAGAAATATTATGGGGGATGATATATTTACCAAGTGAAAAAGCGAACCATGTATATTTACTAAATTAAAACGACATAGTTTAGATTGTTAATATCTAAGCTTAAGTGGCGTTGTATTGTGTGTGTGTGTGTGTGTGTGTGTATATATATATATATATATGCATACACACACACATTATAGCACCACCTAAGCTTATATATATATATATATATATATATATATATATATATATATATATATATATATATATATATATATATATATATATATATAAACACACACACACACTAGCCGTAAAGCCGCGCAAAGCGGCGGTGAAAAATAGTTTCTCATTCGGCAATAAGTTCTATACGGAAACATGTTAGATTTCAAGTAACACAAAACATATGCATATTGTTATCGATTGGTTGTATGGCAACAAATAAATGTAACCCTCGCAATACAAAAGAAAATAAATATTTTGGTGTGTAATGTACGTTTATAGTCTTTCATTTTAGAAATCAGGACACATCCATACGAAGTGACTTGCTTATACCTTTATTGGTATTGATAAAGTTAATAAAATGGAGAATTAAAGTTAATCTTAACAACCAGGTTTGCTGGATACAAATAAGTCTAAACGGATATATCATATTATCCACTTTATTATCTAAAGTTTTAAACCGAAAAATAATAAAATTAATACAACCATATTTCATGGAACATGAATAACAAATGGAATACTAATTTTCTATTAGTCATAAATCATACATAGATATTTTTTTCTTAATATTAAACAAAATATTTGATTTTACAACTGATTGGTTAATTTCGATTAGAGGGCATAAATAATAAATAAAACTTTAAAAAATTACAAATAAAATGGCATATATAATGGATTATTTGTTTTATTTTAATTGGATAAGAGATTTTATCAAATTTTTGGAAGAGATAAGATTTCAAAAGTAATCAGATTAAAATTTAATATTATTTTATTTATGATTAGTTGTACTTGAACGTCTTAAAAAAATAATATTATTTTATTAGATCTATTTATAAAAATAGTAAGATTTTTTTTATAAGTTAGTATATATATATATATATATATATATATATATATATATATATATATATATATATATATATATATATATAGACACACGCATGTGTGAATCTTTTTGACAACCAAAAAAAGCATGCAAACTTAAGAACTACTAATCCCATCATCATTTTTCAAAATCAAATCATAAATATCAACGACATGCAACGTCTAAGCAATATATAGGCACAAAAAAAAAAATTAAGATTTGACGATTTTTTTTTTTTTTTTTTTTTGAAAAATGTTCATATATATGCAGTCTTGATGCAGTCAATGTGACTATTGATACAAGCATCCATATATACATCCGTCATCCATTTAAATGATGATGCATGCGTCCACTTGTAGTTATACCACCAAATATTCTAAATATGAATAATTGAGTATACCACCAGAATTTCTAAATATGAATAATTGAGTGTGAAAAAGTAATCAAGATTACACGGAAATATGTAATTACATTAAATTATTTATTATATATATAAAATATATTTTTCCTAAAAGTATAAATAAAGACACGTAGAATAATTTGCTGCAAAAACTCAATTTTTAATTGAAACATAATGTGAACTTCTTAACCATACAAGATGCAACACCATATAAGCTCACCCGTGACAACGCACATGGATCTCTCAAAGATTTATCCATTTCTTGTTACTATTTAGTAATGTTTTCCTTACTTTGACTTTTACTTTTGTTTGCATTCTTCAAATAGTAGGGAGTATTAACTTTTAGTAATTCAAATATATTTATCTTATAGTTTCAATTCTTACAAGGTGAAGATTATATATGTGGTCGATATGATTTTACTCACGAAGTAGTAACGCTTTAATTTAGGCAACTTAAACTAATTAATTCAACTGTGAGCATTTTGGAAAATGTTTTTTTGAACTAGTTGCAAAATAAGGTAATATAGTTTGTACGAGAAGATATAAAATATTTGACTATTTGTCCAATTTAATTGAAATGATGATAAAGATGAAAATAATACGAATAAAAAAAAAAAAAAAAAAAACCCTACTGCAAATGGGGCGCAAGGTCTTCTCATTTATATAATATAAAGATTTTATTTTTGCGTCATACAATAAATATAAAATGGATTGCAGATCCATTTATTAAAAATAACCAAATATAATATGAAAAGAACAAGGTAGAAGGTAGTAAAAGAATGGGCGTGATTAGCCTAAGGACTTGGCAATGAAAAAGCTACATAACACTATTCATGATTTCTATCTATAAATACAAGAACTCACTTCACTAGTTCCATACCCCAAAACAAACCACCATTTCTTGAGCTAGTTTTCCCTTCGCATCCTCAAAGCAATTCAAAATGGCTTCAAGGGGATTAGCGACAACTCCTTTCCTCCTCATCACCCTCAATCTTCTCTTCTTTACTCTTGTAACATCAACCTCTTGCCCACCACCACCAAAGGCCCCTAAGCCACATAAACATCACCACCACAAAGTCACATGTCCTAAAGACACACTTAAGCTAGGTGTGTGCGCAAACGTACTCAATGACTTGGTTCACCTAGTCGTCGGTACACCAGCAACCACACCATGCTGCAGCCTCCTTGGGGACCTTGTCGATCTTGAGGCCGCAGTTTGCCTCTGCACCGCCATTAAAGCAAATATCTTGGGTATTAACCTTAATGTGCCAGTTTCTTTGAGCTTGTTGCTTAATGTGTGTGGAAAGAATGTCCCAAAGGGCTTTCAGTGTGCGTAGAGATGCTTGATTATTTTTATATATGTTCAAAGAGTTGGTTTTATGCTCTTTGATCTTATTTGGTTTGGTGTGTTTCCCTCTTAAAATTGAGTATTTTATTATGTTAAAGATATTGATTTCAGTAGGTGGTTTTTCACCTTTTCTTGTATTTTGGATATCCTGTCATATTGTGACTAGGGTTTTATTCTTGTGATTCAAAATAAAAATTAACATTTTCAATAAAAATGCATTTTTTATGAGATTTCAACATTAACTCTTATCATATGTGTCGATCCAATTTCAACAAGTACATAATTTAGCTCGTTATGATCTATCCCACACCATGCATTGGAGCTGATGTAGCACAACGTCCTATTAGGAACACCGCACCGCCTAGGATGGTCCTAGGACATTGAGACCCCACCATGCAC